AAAAAAAAAAACAGGATATTTGCTGAATAACAGCTTGCGAAATGAGATTCATGAGAAGAACTGCGGGATACATCAAACTTGACCACATGAGATATGAGGACATTATGACAGAACTTCAGATGGAACCTGCAATGAGCTACATTTGGCAATGTCAACAAAACTGGACAAATCATGTGGATAGAATGACCGACAGTAGATTCCCCAAATGCAATTTTGAAATACCGCCCTGCTGGGAAAAGATCTCTCCGCCAACCTCAGATGAGATGGACGGAAAATACAAGACCGTACCAGGCCTAATACAACCTCAGATGAGATGGACGGAAAATACGAGACCATACCAGGCCTTGTGGCCTAACATGGGAAAGGATGATGATGATGAATGAATGGAAGTATGCAAGGTAGAATAATTTTAAACTTTCTGTTTTTCACGAGTGACGTGACACGCATAGAAAAAGATTCTGAGCTTAGTTTCGGGATAATGTACTGAATATGTTTTTTCCAGTTTGTAGGACAGCAAAATTTTACCCTCATACCCTACACAATTTTTGTTAGTAATACACATTATAAAATTTGTTTTGTCAAAAACTAATATGAACTTATTGGCTTTAATCCATTTGTTCAGTCAGTATGATCTGATCCCCAACAGGGGCAGAGGATTTTTCCTCTAGCCTCAGCGTCCCAGCAGGTTCTGAGACCCACCCAGCCTCCTGTCCAATGGCTGGGGGTAGAGCGTGGCCAGGGCATGATGCTAACCACTCACCCCATCTAGTGGTGAGGTCTAGAATGATTAGGATCTATATGAGCTCTCCCCCCAAGCACCTACATGGGGTACAGTGGGAAAGCTTTACTTTTATTCATTTGTTCAAGCTAGCAAAGACATAATTCACACAAATTTGGAAGCAGTCAATTTCTGGACGCCAAATAATGTTAGTATCATCCACAAAAAGTATTGGTTTAGAGCGAGAGTTAAATGACTGAGGGTAGATCAATGATATATGAAAATCAAAGTATCTTGAGGAACTCCATGTCTTATCACGCCCCCAATTTGAATAGGTGCTAATATTTTAATCCGGTGATTTTACTTACATGTGCTGCCTTCCGTCACAAAGGTGTGTTTAAACCACTGAAAAAGCTACATTTCGAAATTCCATCTGAGAATTGTCTGAAACTGAACTGAAGTGTCAGCTACATACACCTCATAAAGTGTGCAAAAAAAAAAATAATTCTGCTAACACAAGAATTTTAGAAGCTGTTCTGAATGTTGTAAATAAGTCCCATATTTTTCTGGCTTCACACCAACAAATACACAAGTATGCATTCCACGGATCCAAAGGTTAGTCAGAATCACAAGAGAACGTAGAACAATCCACAGAGTACACATTAATTCGGTTTCCCAAACAGCGACGCTTAACATAAATATATTAAAATGTTATACTAAATCCATCACCAAACAGCAGATATGTTTTATACTACATTAATTACCATAGCTCTAAAAGGATTATGGGTCCTTTCAAACTGTAGGAGTTCATCAACAGAAGAATATAAATGTAAACGAGCAGTGACCATTTCATATTTTGTAAGACTTGAGGTTCTCACAGCGGTGAGTATGAAGATTCATCGCCCTGATGACGGAGGCAGTATGACCTCTGAAACGTTGGTTAACATCGACCAGACTACACAGCGCAACAACCTAGAAGACAGAAATCTTCATACTCGTCGCCCTGATGACGGAGGCAGTATGACCTCTGAAACGTTGGTTAACATCGACCAGACTACACAGCGCAACAACCTAGAAGACAGAAATCTTCATACTCGTCGCCCTGATGACGGAGGCAGTATGACCTCTGAAACGTTGGTTAACATCGACCAGACTACACAGCGCAACAACCTAGAAGACAGAAATCTTCATACTCGTCGCCCTGATGACGGAGGCAGTATGACCTCTGAAACGTTGGTTAACATCGACCAGACTACACAGCGCAACAACCCAGAAGACGGAAATCTTCATTTCATATTTTAACTAAATTCGAATTAATTAAGATTCAAAGTACTACCTCAAAAAATTAATAACATGACCATAACTTGAAACAAGCAGGAAAACAGGATGCCATAATGTGATACAAACGTGTACATAAATCATGTTAAAATGATGACCACTGGAGTAAAACCGAACGACCTAACAAGTGGCACGAACTCAGAACTTGACGTATCAACTCAATCACTGTTTAGAACTACTGACGAGCAAACTTTCGGCCCAGAAATGCATTTTCAGTGTTTGAGCTGCATGTCAAGGAGAAGGACCCATCTGAAAAATTTGTTTGACATCTTAATCATAAAAAAAACACTGCAAACACAAAATTTTATGACTCGCTAGCAAGTCAGAAACAAAATACTGCTGAACAGACGGAGAAGCACAGTTGTAATAGGTAACTTTTCCAAAAATTAATAATTTATTGTACAATATGCAGCTCGGGGATTCAAATAAAACAATCAGTCTCAATACACCCTTTTGTGGGCTATTTAAAAAAAAAAATGCCAACTAAGCGATATGAAAATAAAATACTGAAATATTTAGACCTTCGTTCATTTTGAAAGGAAAATTTCATAATTTATCCATCTTACACATATTTAATTCAGTGAAATAGAAAACCACAAGCTTCAATCTACAGTCACTGTTTGATGTAGTGCAGTCCACGCTAGACATCAGCAATTATCATGTATTTATTCCCATTACTCAAACTTCATTGGGGGAAAAACAAACAAAGTGGACAATCTATGAACATTCTAATACTCATCAGTTCCTTCTGCACAGCCATCGGTTATGTTACTGCAGTATACGACAATCACTGGTGGCTAAGAAACATAACAGAATTTTTTATACGAAACTGAAGAAATCCACATCTGATTTTTATGTCCACATGTACTAGCAGCATCCTTCATATACCCTCTTCAACTACATGAACCAAATATTCCAGTGAATGTAATCTTGCCTTTGTCTGCTCCTACGTCTTAAACTGGCAGAACTCGCTAACTAATCTCGGCAGAAATCAATCTAAAGTGATTGCAAGAGAAATGTTCATGAAATGTAATAAAAGTATAAAAGATTCCAATAATAAATATAACGTATTACTAAATATCCATGTTAGTCACGTAGTACACAGAATGCGTTCCATTTTTGTAAATGAAACATTGTGGAATCCAACAACGCACTCAAGAAACTATTAATTTATTTTCAGCATTAAATAACTTAAATATATAAAAGTTTTATATCTTCGAACTTGGAAGTGCGACTCTTCTTTACAAAATTCATTACGGCATCCAAAGTTCTTATGATCCAAATATTATTGAAGGGGCGAAATGTGGTTGAAACTACAGAAAAAGTTTCAAACAAATCACCACATGCCACTTTTCTGAAATTAATTTCCAAAAATTTATATAACAAGTAACCATTTAAAATTTGTAAGCTTTACCGTGAACTCTTTAATGTCAGGTGCAAGAATTTCAGATAAAGAAAATACACATAAGTTAACATTTATTCAAAATGGAGTCTTGTGAAACACGAAGTTCCTCAGCATGCAATAAATACATGGTCCTCTGCTTCTTTTATACACATCAAAACCCATACTACTTGCTGCAAATACTATTGTTATTATTTTGCAGTTCTTTGAAAGTGCATGAGTGACATCTTTACTAGCTCACTAGTTCCAAGGAAAATAAACTTGCAGTGCATTCTAAAAATCTTAAACAAAATATCTACTAACAACAGACACATATTAATGTAAATGTGTGCATTAAGTATGATAATAAAAAATGCAGGTATTACCAAAGTCCTTGGCCTACATACTGATATAATCCCCCAAGGCAGGTTCAACACGTTTTTCTATGAGGGCAGTTTCATAACTCATAAATGTTTCAAAATTAGTTGTCTATTCCCACAACATCATGTCAAAATTTTCTAAAGAAAATTCAACAAACAGAAGAAACAGCAGAAAAGAAGTTTTAAAGCCCCCAAAAAAGATAAGAATATTAAACAAATGGATATTAATCTGTTTCTTTGCTACAGTCTGTAACAGACCACAGCATTTCTTAATAATTCAATATGTGGTAACATTGACATCATCCATGGCACAGCGGTATTCACAGTTTTTGTCCAGAGCATGAAATTTTCTCACTCTGGATAGCTTAAGTCTGTTTAAAGATATTTAATATACTTCAAACCAGTAAATTCTTGCTCTCATTACTGTGATTGTAAACAACATGGAGGATGTAAGTAACAAACAAGGCAACATCTTGACAAAATTTATATCTCCTTCAAAAGAATTTATTTTGTGTTGTGTGCATTTTTTCTAAGAATCCCAGACGTTATGTTCACTGCAACTTGGACAATCACTGCAAAGGCACTTCCACGGGCCTCTTTCTATATTTTTGTAGCTTTCAAACTGCAATTTTCTTCCCCTCCTGTTTACACTGCAGATTCTTCTCTTAATGTGCATTTATGATGAATGAACTGGAGGCTTTAATTAAATGTGTGGCATAAAATTTCGTTGATCATAAAAAGGAAAAATAATAAATGTTTAACATTTAATTCTCCTGCACTGTCAAAACTTAACATCACACATTAGGACAATAATCCATGTGCACTGAAAACGATACCACCCATACAATTGCAATGGCCTTACAAAAAAATATGAAAAATAAATATAGCAATGTAATATAATAGACAATAAACTTCCTAAGCACTAACCACGAAGTACCGTTACTTACACAGATGCCATACATACTGTATTTTAAAAGAGGCACTACAACAAATGAACTGGCTCTTTATTTATATCATAACTTAAACCTGTCTGAAATGGTGAGTATTACGTGAGTGGGGATGTAATGTGGAATAAAAAAGGGAATGCAGAAACCAAACTGGAAAGTGAACAACATATCGTAGCTACTTCAACATCCCATTATGTTTCTTCAGTAGCAAAATATTTCATTACATAAGTACTCACCTCTTCTCTTCGTTTAAGCCATCTTCCACATGGACTTTCTTCTAAAATTTCACTCTCATCCTCGGAATCTTCACCACTTTCCCGTGGTGACTTATGTTCCGGGTCGTTACTTGAGCGACTTCCAGACATTCCGGAGAATTAGAAAGTACGATTTACGTCTTGAAAACAGACATCACACTGTTTATAGATACAGACACATCTCACTATACACTTCACACCACAATTCACAGCCATGGATCATTATTCAACATTTCTCACTACAATGTTTCAAGCCCTAAGCTATGTTTGTGATTCTCATTGGTTCAACGCGAAAACACCGTCACTTGTTAACCGGAATCGTTCGAACTTAGGTTTTCCTTTCTGCTGAAAGATCACGTGACACTCTCCTCATTAAAATGTAGCTCCATTATTCAAAAGAAACACTCACTTTTAAAATACAAATCATATGAGTAAACAAAGCAAACGAGTAATACAGTAACATTCCAATGGTTATATTCTACACTGACTCGAACTCAGTCACTATCGAACCTACATCGCACTACTTCGTGTATCCACGTTCGGCTTAGCTCGGATCGTGGTTCACCAAATGCTACTGTTATATCAGTGCAGAACTATCCTGCCCTCTACTGGTATTAATCTATTAGTACCATATTTTACAATCAGAGTGCATGAATGTCAGGCGCAACATTTGAATCCATGGCTAATGTTATCAGCAGTCTCCACATTGGTAAAAAATTACTACAATCTAAACTGATATTATTCCAAATGAAAATTTACAAGTATTTTTACTTCATGACACACACACACTTACCCACATCCTTTTGCCATCTAACTTAAAGAACCTTTGAACACGCACGCACACACATATCAAAAATTTTATTAAATGTATTTATAACTGTCTTTCGAATTCTGGCAAAAGCAACTGAGTAGGCCTTACTGATAGATATTATGAGGTGAGGAAGCACAGTGAACGTTAACAGTCAGTGGATGCTTCGCCCGACATAGACAGACAAATCCCATTACAGTACCATACATTATCTATCATCTTTATAATTTTAGTAAGTGTTTTTTTATTTACTGTTTTGTTACTTTTAAAAACTCACAGATGTTGGCAGATGACAATTAGTGGAAGTGGTGCTTTATTGGGGGGGGGGGGGGATTCCCTTTGAAATTACATAGAGAATTTCTGTTCTGAGGATTTTTAGGGACAATGTAAGGATGGTGGTATATAGAGGGGCACCGTATCAGGTTTTGACGGTACTTATACACCATTACGCTTGCCACACACCACCAAAGTGCCATCATAACCATGTCCTTCTATGAATTTCACCTCAACATCATTCATACAAACAAAACTGTTTACTTTGGAAAGACACTTAGTTCCAAACGCTCAACATATAAGATTAATTAAAAGCTCAGACATCATCTGGTCTCTCCTAATTTGATCATTTACATACTTAACACCAATTCTAAAGTATTCCAACAAAAATCTCACATTCTATATTAGTAAATACCTAGAAACCATTGGTAGAATTCACCATAGCTGCAAGTTTATTTAAATGTATTGAGTTACAGGACTCCAACAACCAATCTAAGTCATTACTTTGTCAATGTTGGTCCTCTAAGTACTTGTGCCATGGTAGGCAGATATCAACATCTTGCAGAAATGTACTGCCTCCATCTTCAGCGCATTCAGGGCTCAAGATAGAGGTTGAATGTTTCCCCAAAATGATGTTACCACCCAGAAGATCAACACGGACATCTTCACAACCATGATAACTTTAAATTTCATATATCCTTCATCTGTGTCCTTCTGTTAGGGTCAGCGACCAACCTTCATACTCATATAAAAAAAATAGTTTAATTTATTTTAATATTTAGATTTTCAGGCTGGGAGATATATTTTAACCTGTCATGAAGATAATGGAGTGGGAGAACAATAATGATTTGTCATTTTAAGATTTCAAGTAGCTAAAGAAAATGAACACCTGTTCAAGATGTTTACAATGTCAAGGTGGTTGTCCATCAGCACCAAAAAAGAGCAAAGTTAGATCTTGTGGAACACCAGAAGTTTGTACCTGTGATGCAACATGTCTGCTGTGGGAATTCATGCCAATAAACTATTAATTACTGCTATAGCTCACAGCTTCACAAAAACTTACCTTTTTATCTTTGGAAGAGAATTTCCCTGCAAATACTTAGTTATGGATTTATTTAAGAGAGCTGTCAATTGCTCAGAATATGTAGCATCAGATGACGGGCTGATTAATGAACAATGGCTTATAAAACAAAAGAAAGGAAGTGGTCATTGTCTTATTTAAAGTACTCTGGGGGACTGAGAAAAACCCTGAAAAAACTCATAGAGAACAGCTTGTCTATGGGCTGAAATTTTAGCTTGGGACCTCAAGATGTGAATGAAGCCGGAGTGCTCGACACTCGGCCATGGCATTCAGTGGATTTCAGTAAAATGCAGATAATGTAAAACGAGTCTTATAGTTAATTTAATTTGTGACAAGTAAATATATTCTTTCCTCTCCCACAGACAACAGACCTGAAAGGCTGGCGGATGCTTTGCCAACAACGATGCATATACAGACATAGGTCGCAGCTTCATTAAAGCACACATTCCCCCAGCACAAACAAAGATGTGATGACACATGAGACAGGAACAAGTATACAAGGTACATGAAAGAGAACACCAAAACTCAAAGGAACACGCGCTGTCAGTTACATATAACACATTCCTGATCAGTTTCAGAGACTTAAGTACTTTCTCAGAAGGAGATATGAAATCTTTGTCTTCACAACTTTAGCAATATTACATAACCTAACTAATAACTAACACATTATCGACCTATATGGTAATTCTTGATGTGACATACAGCTGATAATAAGGTAGTTTATGGTAACAATCATACTTTATTAAGATTTAAGACTTTGTTAAGAGTAACGTCTTATGCACCACAATATAAAAGTTGAAGTATATCCTTAGAATTTGGTATGGCTAATAACAATACTCACATTCTTCTGCCTCTGATATGTCTAGTTCTTCAAATTTCTGTGGGTATTTAAACTTTTTTCTTAAAAAAGACAGGCCAAAACATTGTTTAATAAACAAATTAATCTCTCTCTCTCACAAACACAAAAGAACCTTATTTAACCTACTTTTAATTTAAGGTTATAGACTAGTGTTCTCCTCAAGGATGCATGTTTCAGCCCACGGCTCATTTCATCAGTAACTAAATACACAAGGGCTATTTCAAAGTACAGTAGGAGTGCAATGTTGAATTCTAAATATATTTTTTACTGTATGTCATTACATCTTTGTTATAAGTGACAAATGTTAATGGGCTGTCAGACCTCAATAAATCAGGTATGAAACTGCATCTTATTTTGTTATTTCACCTCTGTTATCTACGGACTACCTTAACCTACAACTTCAATATTAAATGCTCTCAAATTTCCTCCTCTGGGTGGTAATGTGCAGAGTTTTTAACTTTCATCTGTTAATAGTTTTGAGACATGACATTATAGACATAAATTTTTGGCTAGCTTATGAAAAATATGTAATTTCGTGAATATGTGTTTTCAATGAAAACACATATTCAATTTGGCCATCATCAACAAAAAATGAAATATGCCATAAAAGTATTTTCGTAGATCTACAATTTCAGGGTAAAATACAATGAATAAAATGAAAGGTTCCAGAGTTGTTGCGATATTTGTTTTTATGTATACTTATGAAAAATGATATGTATCAAACGCTGATATCAGGAAATCTCAATGAAAAAGAATTAATTAAGAGAACGTGATGATATGAACAACAAAAAGGGAGATTGCAATCCACTCACTGATTGTAAGATATGCCATCTGTTAACTAATGTTGAAAATAGTATATATTATTTGCTGTAATACTCATACAGGTCTGTGAAACATTTTGTTTTTTCTTTAAATTAGGGCTTAAATAGCCCCATTAGAAGCGATCTGTATGTTACAAAATTAAAGCTGCATGGCAAATGTTGACATATTTTGTCTTGGTATGAGAACATTCATTTGGAACATAAATTTTTAGTAATGAACACAACCAAATGAAAACTATTAATCATTCTTATTTTGCAAATCACGGAACAATCTGAATATTTAAAAAGTAATCAATTTACTTTCTTTTCCAACTGAATGATTGTGACTCATTCATTCATTTCAAAGACAAGTTGCTGCTGAGTGGTTAGTACTCCTCTGTGTTTCGGAGAAGAAGGGTTCAAATCCTATCCTATCCACGAAACTGTCAGGATAGAGTCTCATATTAAGCCATAAATGCGTAATTATGGACCGACAATGGTCAGCTTTTATATGAACTGAAACTAATTATTATGTCGGCATTGTTGTGTTTAATTACTGCCGTCAACAATCCACTTTCGTTATTGCGGAAAGAGCTGAGTTTCAGTAGCTTGTAGAAGAAGTGCGTCGTAGAGCAGATAATATTGTGTTGTTAAAAACGTTTTATAATATCACAAGTACTAAGAATTATTAATAAATCTTGGTCATTGACGGTGGACATCGTGGTCTCTTACAATTGAGCGAAGTTTGAGGTAAGTGATTCCTATTTATTATTAATGTTCATCACGTTCCATGGTTCCAATGTCAATTTTGCATTGTTAGAATGTGGGTGTTGTGGCTTTACTCTCTTTATTAGTATCTAACAATATAAATAAACAAGGTATTGTTGTTTGATTCTAATTATTGATATCTAACAATAGAAATGAACAAGGTATTGTTGTGTTACTGTGGAGATATGTTTCTTTATAAACGAACTTGAAGCGTTAAGACATTCTGTTGCAAACCATATTACAGAGAGGTCTGTGCCAGAAGACTTTACTGCAAGATAAGTATTGAAAAATTGGTAAGTGAAATAACTCGATTATTCGTCTATTAAAAATAGTTATTTTGTAGTCATAATTCCCCTACGATTACCTGAAATTAACCAGGTGTAAAGCTAAAAGCGAGTTAGTATTTATCAGTTGGAACAGCATATGATAAATGAAAAACATGGAGATAGTAGTGCTGCACAAATATGAGTAGAATTTTGAGGTTAGTTCGTATGGAATTAGAATTTATTTACATTCCATAGATTCTTCATGGTACAAGCCAAGGTTATGGAACTTCTTTTTCTCGAGATTCAGACTTTTTATAGTGGTGTGGAGATTATTGAATAGCTTAATTCCAGTGTAGTAAACCCCTTTTTGATATTTGCTGAGTTTAGTTAAGGTTATATTTTGGTATGAAATTGAATACAGTAGAATCAAATACCAAAACAGAATTATAATTGCTAACTTATTACAACTGTTTACGTAAATATTAAGAGTTTTTATAATTGAAGTAAATTATATAGAGTAGGAGAGGGGTAAGAGAACCATTCACTGCTGGCTTAAATATTTTGACGTAAATACGTCTATACGTAAGGGTCGTTCGGAAAACGTGTAAGATCCATACCGACAATGTGTAAATATGGACCAACAATGGTCAGCTTTTATATGAACTCCTGCTTACATAACAATGATTTACTCCTTTACCTAAGAAACTAATTGTTACGTCAGCTGTTTACTAGGCATTGTTGTGTTTCATTATCGCCGTCAACAATACGCTTTCATTATTCCGGAAAGCTGAGCTGTGAATCGATTGTGGAAGTGCGTCGTAGAGTAGATAATTTTGTGCTGGTAAAATCGTTTTAGAATATCACAGGTACTTATCTTATATAAGAATTATTACATTTCATTACATTACAGAGACGTATTTACGTCAGATTCTCCGGAACCGTGGTTCCACTGTCAACTTTTTTATATCATAATTGAAACTTTTAATGCCATGTGATGATTGTGAATATTCTGTAAGTGTGAAATTACAGTTTTGGTATCACTTCAGAAACTTTTAGCTTCATAGTTTCATGGTCTTCAATCATCAGCAATATTTATGGACGCTTCCTGTAAAACGTGAGGACACATCAAACACCAAAATGTAGCTTCCAACTCATGATAAGAACCTGGGACCCCCAAAATATGAAGCAAGAGAGATCTCTTGACCAAATTTGAATGTTTTATTAGATATTTTATTGAAGATTTCTGTCTTCTGGGTTGTTGCACCAACGTTTCAGAGGTCATACTGCCTCCTTCATCAGGGCGATATTTTATTACTGTGATATTATTCTTCAGTCTGTTGATGGAACATCAACGTATATTTAATTTTCTATGCATTTACATTTCGGTGAATCTCGTAGCTGATGAAAAACAAATGGTATCTGTGTCAACACAGCTTTGTTGCAGAACTTAAGTTGCTGTTGGGTGAGAGAAGGGAGATGTAAAATTGGATATGATATTAAAATTGTTACTATTACAGCATGGATAAAAGCCTATGATATTTCTTGTTTATGGCTTCATTGTCTAATACTCTTATCACACTTTCTTTTTCCAGAGTGTACACTCACCAATTTAACGCCCTCTGAGTTGACGCATCCAAAATTTGTTGAACACTATGCCAAAGATTCAGACTTCGATTAATGCCAAGCCAACGCCTGCTGAGACACCTGATAGTAAGGGTTTAGTAAGGTATGTGATAATCCGTGCATTTATTAAATATATATTGGGGACAGAGTAGCTCAGTCAGTATAGCTAGTGACTACAGACTAGATGACCAGGGTTCGATCCCCGACGGGGACAGGATTTTTTCCTCTAGCCTTTGCATCCATCAGTATCATAATTCAATAATAAAAGCGAAACTTATCTGTGCTGGAACTTATTTTGTTACAGGAAGACACTAACTGCTTCAGAGCTTGTGGGAGATAACAGCAATTTTTATGTGTTTTGTCAGACCTGTGTCCGTGCAGAAAAGGACAATGAGGAGGTAGACTCTCAAGACAAGAGCCAGTTAATCAAAAATGGTATGTAAAAGTTAATGTAATAGCACAGTTGTTCACTCATAGGACAGATTGCTGTTTAAAAAGTGTGTAAGCCGTGCCAGAATAGAAATATTCAAGTCATATCTAAATGAATTCTCTTTGCATTAAACCTTTACACAGATATATAAAGTATTTATTCAATCTCATACATGTATTGAATTTAACTGTGATTTTTACATGGATATATTTCACAGGTGTCACAAATTTTCCAATTTTGTGGCATAACTTTTTAGTATTCGCAAAGAATAAAATGCTTTACCCTGTTTCTCCACTTTAGACATCCCAGATAAATTCATGAGTATGCATAAACTACTAGTTCCTTTTTTTTTAACTTAAAATTTTGTTTTTCTTTTACTGCGGAAGGAGACATGAAACAAGGGGCGTTTGCCAAGTTCTGCAGCAATTTTCAGAAGAAAATAAACGTTGAAAATACACAGGAAAAAAAGGTATAGAGAATTAAATTAGCTTAAATATTTCAGAGTGTGTATAATCTGCAACTCTGAAATTTCATTTACAGTTATAATTAAACGTGATGTTAGTATCACGTATGAAACTTTTAGCTTCACAGATTTCGATCATAGGCAATATACACGCACTTTTCATGTAAGTCGTGAGGACATGTCCAAAGGCAGAGTGTGCAGAATCATTTTTCGTTCCAGATATCCAGGAAAGTTTATATCGGGCCTCTCTCGAGCTTTATATTTGGGAGGTACCAGTTTCATATCGTGACTTAGTATCAGATCTCTTGACCAGTTATTAACTTGTGCCCGAATTTATAACTTGTGTTGGGCAAGGCCGTGGTCTAGGCAACACGGAGTTTTCCTCCATGGCATCCCAACAATTACTCCATTCACACACAGAAGAAGGCAATGGCAAACCACTTCTGGATCATCTGCCAAGAACGTATATGAACAGTTCCCAGTCCGAGAAGAGAAAAGGATGGAAGGATCCTGTTCATATGGACATGTCGTCAGACAGAACACTAAATAATAATAAGCTGAGGTGGTCTAGCGGTTAGAACGCTGGCCTTGTAATCCTGGGGTCTTCGGAGATAGCTGTTTGTTTATATGCTCTACAGTTTTCACGGAAACTAAGTATAATGAATTCTTCTCGGGTTACTAGCCATGTCAAGTGTTTACCCCTTTCAACCTCCTTGCACGGCTGATAGCCGAAGAAAAATTAATTCTAGCTATGTGTTTGTGGTGAGTGACACCATTGTCCTAGTAACCACTTATATTTTGCAGTGTGAACAAACCATCTTCGTGTCCTGGGATTACTGATGTCGTATTTGGTGTAGCTTTAACTGCAACTGCTGTCTTGCTTATGGTTTATATCTTTTGCCTAAAATCAAGAATCCTGGCCAAGATTTATTACGTTTTTTCTGAGTCAATTGAGGTAAGTGTTCGGATGATGTTCGAAATTATGCCATGATTATTTTTTCTGCAACGCTTAGAATGTATAGTTCTGGCACTTTACATAAAGTATGAACACGTGTTCTCTATGTGGCCATGAAAATTCCAAAATATTCCGTCCATAAATGTTACAAGAATATCACATTCTTCACACCGTTATGTGCAGTGATACTTCCAATGTACCAGTGCCACTTGCTTTGGTGCACATGCGCACAATCTCATGGTGGTTTCATGTACCACGGTCAGTTTTGCCATATTGCGGCCTGTCCGTTAGTCACTTAATGAGAGCCTTGATTTCTCCCTGTATTATGTGGAAGAATCTAATTCCTGTCATATTTTCTTTGACGCATTTACATAAATCTTCTGGTCCTAAAATGTGGCTTCTCTCAGTTGCTTGAAGAGTATTTGCTGCAAGTTACTTTACTGTTCCACCAATTCCTTCTCAAGAACTTTTTCTATGCAACATAAGAAATAAATTCCACTGCGCAAATCTTGTTTGTGACAATATAAGTTCAAGAAGTTTTCACAGTTCTTGTACTGAAATGATATACCTTTCTTATGTGTGGTAAATATCGGGAACCAGGTATTGTTTAATGCATCTTATGAAATAGTGGACTGCAGTTACTCTATGCTGAAGAAAGTCACTGATTTACGTAGTAATACTTGTCATGGATACAGTTTGTTTATAATCATCATGAACCTACTGTTGTAAGCTACGCTGTTTTTCACATAAAAATTATTTGGTTCGAATAATTCTTCAGCAATAGCTTTTGGTTTACTCTGGGCAGTTTGAGTATCTTTGAAGCATATAATTCTGAGACTCTGGAATATACCACATTTCCAAAAAGGAAGTCTGTAGTCTCACACGCACACACAGTCATGCACTAGACACTCACAGACACAAATACATACAAAGAGGCGCACACTCAAGGACACACACACAGACATATATGCAGGCCGATTGAAAGATCATAACTCCAAAACTATTTGAGATGTATGTATACACATTACACCGGTTGATTCCATGAGGAGAACTGTTGGAAACCAGATTTTGTATTTCTTAATTTTAAATAATAGAGATATTTTCTTACGTATGACAGTTGTGTAATGTTTATATGTGATCTGAGTTGATAACTTGAGTTAGAAACATTTCATAAGTTATTACGAGTTATATATTTCAATATAGTTTTTAAGCATCTTGAGGAACAGACTTCTCTTATTTATACTTTATAAATGATTCACAACATGGTGTTCGTTTACAAATATGTCATGTCAGTGACTGTCTTGGGTTGTGAACGGTTTAAAGATGTTTCAATGAGAATACGGTGTCGTCAGGTATGTCTAATGCTAGACATTCTCTCGTTAAAACTGTGTTTGTTTTCCAGGTGCAGTACGGTGAATGGAAGATGAGATCAGGAATATTTAGGACTATGAGACTAGATTTCTTCACAACTATTTAATTCACAGATACATTGAGTTTTGCTGGTATTAGCATCTTGGAAGATGTTTTGGCCACCTTGGTCCTCGTGGTTACTTTTATGTTGCTGTGAATGCTGTTCAGATGGTTTGGTATTATCCCCCCCCCATGGGAATGGATGACCTTTCTGGCATACTGACCCCACGTCACTAACCACACGCGCATGGACGAGTGCCTGGATGTTGCTCTCGACTTCTGGAGTGGAGCGACCCAGAGCCACCCAATCACTGACCCTGACGTCAGACAGTGCCATGCCCGGTCCACAGCAAGGAGTAGAAGCAGCGGTACCTCCATACATTGGGCAGCCATTTTGACATTCTTGGAGTAGGGTCTGGATCATTGAGATGGTTGCCTGATGTATGCTGGAACTGCTGATGGCTCTCTCGCACCTCAGGGTCCAGCATGATGTTGTCTGACTGCTCATCTGGGTCAGCCTCTGTGTCTCGGAGGTTGGTATCCGCTCCGGAGTTTAGGAGTATTTGTCCTACTGAGCAGTGTGCGATTTGGGATCAGCGTGCCAGATGATACAATAAGGTCCGTATAAAAGGAGATTATGTCCAGTGATCATGAAGGATATGGCATTCGCTCCTTATTTGATCCACTGGCTGGTGTATTTGCTGCTAAGAACTACTATCTCAGCAGCATTCACAACATAAGTCACCATCTGGAGAGAAAGATTGCCATCATCTTCTGGATGTTGATATCACGATATCTGATGAATCCGACTGTAATAAGGCTACACTTATAAATCTACTGGAAAACTATATCGTGCCAACAAGCATGTAAGATGACATCCACTCACCGGTACAGACCACAATGACAATTATATTTCTGACTGCAGTTGTAATCTATATGCTATTTAATAAATAATGATGTACTTTTCGTTTAACATAGAATAAACCAATGCGACAACTTTTATGTTTTTAATGACATTTCAAAGTTTTCTTTCGTGCTACATCACATATGTTGTTCTTACACTAATGTGATCCAAAGTCAGGCTGTGAACTTTGTTTTGGGTGCATTTGACAGGAATCTGGCTTCTGTTACTGAGAAGTTGTTTTTCCTGGGCTCTTTTCTCAGTCTGAAGTCATATATCATCCGTGGTCAATCATGAATTGATTGTGGCTTTCATCACTTTGAACAGGGACTCATGAAACCAAACCTCATAGAATTCCCACCCATTCTGCAATCAAAAGGGCAGGTCCACTATCGCCTCTCCAAATATCATCATTGAACAGGCACCACTGTATTTTACTTAACTGCTCTCCAACATGGTCACCAGAAACTCGTCACCTGCTTTCCTCAACCACATCCTCCGCTCCCTTTAGATAGTAGCCTGTTCTATTCTTCTTTCAGCTTGGAATCACGGCCAATAAACAAAGGCTAGAATGATGATACGCTGCACTGCACCGCGCCTAGTAGTCATATAGCAGAGTCGAAAATGAACATTTGAGACACTGCATATGTGGCACTACATAAAGTTAGAAACTATGATCACAGAGGCAACTGAGATCTGCTTCTGTTCCCACTTAATGAAGAAGCAAGTACTCTCCTCTCTGAAAAAATCACCAATACACTGCTGGAAAAGATACAAATATTCCCTTACTTTGACCATACACTATTTAACAGCAAAATTATAATCAGTGCCTCGACGAACAGTACACCATCCTGATCCTCCCATCTTTGTCTAGGTCTCCCCAGTGGTCTCTTCCCCTCAGGCTTCCCAACCAATACCCGGTGCACACCTCTTGTCCCATCCATGCGCTCCACATGCCCTGCCCTTTTCATTCCTCTTGACAATATTGGGGGAGGAGTAAAATTTTTTAATGCAATGAAATTGACATTAGTTTACAGAAATTTATTACATCATATAGTTATTTTGTAGCCATATGTACAGTTAAAATGAAAACATATTTACTTCCCAGGTCTCATGAGAATGCAGTAAATTACAATAACACCAGCACTAACACACTATGGTGAATATTTGACACAATAAAGAAGACTTAACTTTTAATAAACAAGACAATGTAAATAGTAATGATGTGATACTTAGCAATTCATATCATGAGGAAAGCTGCTTGACTGGAACTTCAGTTAGGATAATGTAGCATCATGTTCAAATGCAAAGACTTCATTCCAGGGTGAATATGCTGAAAACATCCTCTTAAAACCATATCTAGGGTGGCTCTTGATGCTAGCAATATTCTTGTTAAAGGTTAAAACTAAAGAAGAGCATTATGCAATTCATTATACAGCAACTTAAACACGCCTGTCAGTATTGGTACATGTTAAAAGAACTGGCAACAAACCTCTCAGGAACTTCAAAATAGTTTGAATGCACTGAAAATGTAAGAGTTTATAAATATTCTCTATCTGGAGGAGTCTTCTTTGCATATTTGTCTCTCGCTCGAGGAAACCATCTATGCTTTGTTGTGTATGTGAGACTCATCAATTCTTGGCGAACAAATTCTTCCTTCTTTTCGTTAAACACTGAGTCAACTTCGTCCAAAGACTGGATTTTCAGGTTTGAGTGAGTTTCTTGTTCTACTGGCAGAGCACGAGAACAGTCGTAAGGAAAATGTGTCTCTGGATGCCAACAAACTATAATTGAACCATCATCAGTTACTGTGACTTGTTCATCCAAACTTCGCGATGACGACGCCCGTCCCAACGACCACAACACCCTCCCAGTATGTGCAACTAAATTAGTAATGCCGCGTTTGTACATCAGTAATACCGATGCCATGCAAGAATCTTGAAAGTACTGTTCAAAATATAATTAAAGCTTAACTGGAGCACCTTCCAGTTTTTCTTACTCTTTTCCTTCTTTACAAGTCTCGTCCACGTTTTCCGAAACAGATTCACGTACATCCACAAATAACGTTGCTACATTCCTAGTTTTACCATTTTGTTTTATGTCAATACCAACATCACGATATTAAATAATGACCAACAACACAATATTTCCCTTTACAAACTTTTTATAAGATTTTCTGAACCCAGTATCCGATTGAGGATGTGCGTGACATAGACCCTTGGCATTCGATAAATGACCTAGATTTATTTGAAGCATAACTTGGCACCCCCGATATATCTGCTGACAAGCTAGACTAGTATTAAGGACGCCCATCCCGATCACCATAATTATGTACTGAAGAAGTGAGCAGTACAATGTAATGAAACTACAAGAATAACACAGCAATCTTTAACTCATACCAGACCACCAGCATACGGGAAATGTTATTATGCCAGACAAACTTTTTCATTACTCGGTGTACTTAAAAGAAATTTAAGTACAAATACCGCTTTATATCATAACAAAAGTTCCAATATTTATTGCCGTAAATCAGTGAAATTCAGCAACATAGATGCGAGTGTTCTTCGCCGTTCAGTTATTTTTGATACTATTTATATGCAGTTAAATTGCACTAAATAAACCGTTGGGTGGTTTATATATTATATTGTCATTATAGATTGTGTATTTTAAACAACTAAAATGACACAAAAGTAATGACGGTGAAGTGTCAATGATTCAGCAGCATAATATTAATGCTGTAATCACTGTAAATTTCAGTGCATATTTTGCAACAACCCATTTCCCAGTTCGGTACAAAATAATGTCGGTGTTCGTAGTGAAAATTACGTGACAGAAAGCAATATATATCTTCTTGCCACATTAAATTTATGCTACATAGGATACTGAAATTAAAAATTATAGAATCCCCAAATAATGAATCAAAATGTATAATCTATGTTCTTCCTACAAACATAGGTTTGATTAATGTAATGAAGTTCTAATAAGAATTCTGTCTCAGTAGTCACTTTTGCAAACACATCTATGTACTTGTATGTATATGAACGATTTTAAACTCTTCTTGCTGGAGTGTGATATTACATTTTTCCATCCAGTTAACATGTGAATTTAGCTGAAAATGTTTTTGTTACGGACTTATGTACAGCGAGCTTCCAATTATAATCACTTAAGAATTTCAGATGTCTGATCCAATAATGTCCTTGGTTCGAAAGGGTATCATGTCCTTACAGCTTATAAAGATTAATAGTTTATCACTTTACTCCTGTACTAAAAACCGACTACTGAAATAAATTATATTGATTCATAATGAAATGATATTATCCTTGTAGAACTATGGCTATTCAGTATCAGTTAGAAACACACATATGGCCTTATTTATTATAGAAGTAAAAGGAAATCCTACTACAAACTTTTCATAAATCTCAGCCTCCTATCCAATGGGTACCAGGGTCCTTTCCCAGGGGTAAAGCGCAGCCGGGGCACCCCCATCTAGTGCAGAGGTCAAGAAAGACTAGGAGCTATACCCCCACTCCCGCCAGACGACCTACATGGCACGTAGCGGGACAGCTTTACTCTTTTTTTACATTAAATTAAAAACCTTGTCTGTAAATTATAAAGATACAAACCAGAAATAAATTCCAGTGTTCATAGTGTTTGAATGGGAAGGCTGAACCACTCAGAAGACCTAGATGTAGATGGATTTTAAAATGTTTCTTAGGGAAGCATGCTTTGTGGGTTTGGACTGGATTCATCTGGCTCAAGATTGGAACTGGTGGTAGGCTCTTGTGAACATAGTAATGAAATTTCTGGCTCCAAAATGTGGAGAATTTCATGACTAGCCAAGTACACCTGTAGCCTGTCAAGAAGGCTCTGATCTACGGAGTTTGTTATTAAGAGCCTTTTTTTTTTTTGTGGAAACCAACAAAGCTCAATGTGAGTTTTATGAAATGTACAGGTTATGTTCTGTAAAACCTAAATTAAAAATCTCCAACAAGTTTCAGTGTAGACTCCACTATCATGCGTGGGCTGTAAAAACCACGCTGCAAACACATTCAATCCTGTTAAATTTTTTTGTAACATGACATGTTTCACAGGTCATATAAAATTTTAGGACAACGTTTTGAAGGCAAAAGTGTTGCTGCCATCTTAGTTCACAAAGCAACCACATTTACACTCTTCAATGCAAGTGGTTTAAAGCAGTTGAAGAGAATCACTTCTTTTATTTAAGTTATTTCAGTTCTGACTTCAACAAAGTTACATGGTCACTAAGTGGCAACATGGTGGATTATGATAAAGATAATCAAGATAATATCTTAAAATGTGACCACAACATTATATACAACTACATAAATATTTTAGATGCCTAAATAATTATAATTGTTTTCATCCGAGATCTGGAACCTCTAATGGAAAATTAGCTCTTCAGTTACAGTATATTTTTCAGAAACACGTCTACAACAAAAATGGAAAATTTACTTGACATTACAGTAGGGAATTATAAGCATCAATTTATGGTGATACCAAATCAGTCAGGTGATTCAACAGTAATATCACATTTATAACACCTCACTTTACTTGTGAATTGCAAAGAGTACGCTATAAAGGCACTCAGATTCGGCAAATAACTGATACTAAAGTCATATTTAACGCGGCATCATTTTGATTCAAAGAGTTACCAGAACAATGTTAACAGTAAAAATAAGAAAAATATTTTAAGCAAGCTGACTTCAGGTAAGCCTTAGAAGTCAACCCCCTTCAAGGTAAACAGAATTAAAATGCTTAACGGTAAAAAATTATTTCTTAATCCATACCCACTGCAAAGGAGTATAAAAACAAGATGGCATAGCTTATTCCTACGTAAAGAAATATCTGCAATTAATACCACTCAGGATGACAGAAATCAAAGACAACTGAGCAATAAAAGATAACATATTCACAGAAAGTAAACTTATCATAAGTTTTTGTATTTCTGAATCTTTTTGCATGACGAAATACTCCACGATCACGATGCTACAAACCAAACTTACGAGCATCAAAGTAAAATATAAATGCGTGTACATAAATAGATTTCAGAAATTCAAGAATGTCACATATCACGTTTCCCCGTTCTTTAAAGTATGGTGGAGCGCGACATGCGAGTGCGCAAGCTGATGCGAGGGACATATCGGAATGGCTGATAATAAGCTAGAAATTACATGAAATAATCTATATTACATGTCAGCAGCACAATGCAAGGACTAAAGAGAAGTTTAATGATCAATACATATGAATGACAAACTAGCAATCCTCGATACAAGACGTTTAATCATATCCGGTCCACTCTTGTCCGCTGCATAGGTTGTCATAATTTCTCAAATTTATATAAATTCCCCAAACCTAGAGGGAGAGTAATAAAATCAGACTGATTACAAAATTGAAGTAAAATAAACTCAAGAAACATATTACATTTTTTGAGTACGAACCTTTTATTCTTTTGTCTTCGTTCTAAACACATACATAAATGTATTTGCTTAAATGCAATGTACATATTCAATTTTGTACAACTAATATGCAGAAGGAAATGTTGTATTAAAAATTTGACTTTTCAGAATTTTGGGTCAGCATTAAATTCAGGTAAATGCCGCATCTGGAGGAAATGAAGTGTGTATTATATTCCGACAAATAAAGTAAAACAATCATTTTGTATGTGTAGTAAACTTGACCTCTCCAAGGACAGAACAAATATTAAAAAGCTTTGAAAACAACTGCCGAGGAGAAGATTTGAACTGAAGACAAATAAATGAAAACAAGGGCAAAAACAATGATACGTTCAAGTGTTCCCGAATTACGGGGGGGCACAATTATAGAAATGTTTTTAACAACATACTCTTAATTGATCCATAATTACATTATATGGGAATTGAATGACCAATGTACTTATTTGAGATATAAACCTCTAACAAACCATAGCACCATTTTCAGGTACATTCACAGCTAAAAGTTGCAAAAATGCATCTATTAGCTACATCATATCTTCCCACATGTACCAACTAAAGAAAGATTGTGTGGATTTTCATGACATTTAATAGTATTTGAGAGATTTATTAAAATTTATCAACACAGATAATAATTTATCAGAAAATAATGGACACTTTATGCAAAAGGCTGCCTGTATTTCTTCTGCATGTGAAAGTTCCAGCATTGGAAATTCCTTGCATCGAGGAATCATGGGTAAACCTCCAGCCAGGCAGGTACCATGTCAAGGTCACTGACTCCAAGCAACGTTAACGCCTATGTTGCCTTTTGCAAATGTCAAAGGTCACGTTCTGACAGACCGAACAGCTTCCCAGAACTATTTATGCTAATTATAACAAAGCATCATTCATCTGAACTGTAAACCTACAGGCAATAACAGAGCAAACACGTTACATTTCCTATTTTGTTTAACTTTACTTTGAGAAATGTTATTTTGAAATGAAACTGCCTTTATGCCGTAAATATTCATCTCTCTTCTCTTGTTATGCACCTCATTAATACCATATTTCCTCAATTTTAAGACACACCCTTGATTTAGTAACAGGTTTTCAGGGAAAAAATAAAGACGCTACATCGATTCTTAGACGCCATCAAATGTAAGATGCACTGATTTTAGAAAGTTGAAAATGTTAAGAAAAGTGTGTCTTAAATTTGAGGAAATAAAAGTGTTAATTTGAAAATATTACCTATTTGTTTCACTTTCAGATGCTCTGAAATGCATGTTTCATTGTACATTCTTTAGCCTTCCTGATGTACTCAGGTCTGTTGAAACGATACTCATCGGCCTGCAAACAACGCAGCAAGACTTCAGTAATCAGGTTTAACCTATTGCAACTCTGGTTCATTCAAACAACTATAACACTGGGTCTGAATCCCACGTCTTGTATGGATGTACAGATGCGCAGATAGAGGATTTGCAATAGACATATCCCCTGTTCAAGGAGTTATACCAAATGTCTAAAAGGATTCACAGTTTCAGAAGTTTAAGTCTGAACTGAGTGTTTGATATTTTGCCAGTCACACTTTTAATTCAATCTAAATTTTAAGTGAACTACAGTACAATGAAGATGGTAAATTAATTTCCAGCATTCATCTTTAATCACGATGGTAGGCATGATATGTAACTGACAACTAAAAATCAAACAGGGCTGCTCGCTTCAATAAATCACACACAAACTTTACGAGCAGTTTATCAATCTCTAGCCTGACCATCAGTGACAATGCCATCCCATCTTAAGTTCCCCTGAAACAGCTCATTGTCTCTACTGAACCAGTTTGAAACTCAAAACCCCACGAGAACCTTTTATTTATAATGCCGCGAAAACTTCGTGAATCCTTACACTCAAACTTCAAGCTTTAACTGTGAACACTTTCACACCTGACGACGACAATTACAGTCAAAAAGTTTAATTTAAAAACATGCAAAATGTGCATCCACTTATAGACTCCGAATCCTTTGATCGCACCAAGTTAAAATCACACAAAAGATGAAAATATAATAAATAGGTAAATTTATAATAAATTAATTAAAGGAAAATAAAAGGGAAAAAGCCTGATTGAACTTTAGACTATTATAATTAACTGTAATTGAGGAAATTCATAAAAAAAAAGTTAAGCTGGCATGCTGGTTAAGACAGCATCAATTAGGGGAGAGTCCACAGTATTCAAAAAGTGGGAATATATATTTTATACTTACAATTTCTGTCATAAGGGGATCATCTGGATTTGGTTGTGTAAGCAACATCTGCAGAGAAGTCAGCAAGCCACTAAGTGTTATTACCGGGCGCCATGTTCCTTTTGGCGGGAGACGTAGTAAATCAAGGCATATTCGACCGGCTACATCTATATTTGGATGGTACACCGGAGTTATGAAACGTGCACAAGGAGGTTCAAATGGGTATCTAAAATGTAAAAAATTTCAATTAACTTCAAAACTTTAGAATGGGATGATGACAACACAGGCAAGTATATCTGGGTTATTATTTGTTGTTTATTTACATTTCTCATGGTTCAGACTTAAACAATTCACTGAGCACAGTACTGTACTGTCTAGCACTCCTGCTTTGCATTGGCAGGGCCTGAATTTGAATTTCAGCTGTGATTTTCCTCACTTCCTTCAAGCAAATGTGGGGACAGCATCTAAACATGTTAAACCACTTCCAATTCATAATAATTCAATTCAATCTATGCGGTTCACAAGGTAATTCTATATAAACAAGATGCAAACTATTTAAAACAACTCTGCAGGATTTTTTTTATTGTTCTGTCTGACGACAGGTCCATATGAACAGGATCCTTCCATCCTTTTCTCTTCTCGGACTGGGACCTGTTCATATACGTTCTTGGCAGATGATCCAGAAGTGGTTTGCCATTGCCTTCTTCTGTGTGTGAATGGAGTAATTGTTGGGATGCCAATGAGGAAAACTCCGTGTTGCCTAGGCCACGGCCTTGCCCAACACAAGTTAAAAATTCGGGCCCCGCCGG